GGTCATGATCTCAGGGTCCTGGGTCAAGCCCTGCATCTTCCTGCTCTCACTCTCCCTCTGCCTTCCCCCCTGCTTGTGCTCACTTGCTCCCTCTTTGACAAATAAACAAACACAAAAAAATCTTTAAAAAAAAAAATCTAAATTTCTAGCACCTTTTGGGGAAAAAACTGAAAAATGTGGCATCACTGGGCAAGCAGCACAAACTGGGGAAGGCCGCACGGCCACCGCCCCCATTAGGCAGGCCCCTCCTTCTAGTTCCTGGCCTGGCCTGCTCACTGGAGGCACCCGACTGACCCCTGTGCACTCATGGCTTTGTCACTCCTCGTTAAGCCCAGGGAAGCGATGCCAGGCTTGGTCATGCTCAGGACAGCCACGGGGCGGCAGCACTGAGCTGTCCCTGAGGCCCGCCCACCTGCCAGTGACTAACCCAGCTGAGCTTGGCACATCCTTTCAAAACCAGAAATCTCATCCTTACCTCAGCAGCGGGCACTCATCCCCTCCACTCCCCATCAGATGTATTCCCTAAAAAGCAACAGCGGCTCATTTCAGCGCACCCCCTAGCCTCAGGGACAGAGGAGGAGCCACTAGCCACTTCCGCTCTCCTCTCTGGCCACCACCTTCCGCATCTTCCCAGCTCCTCCCACTCCACAGGAGCATCTCTACCTGTTCAGGCATCCCACCTTCACCCACCTGTTAACACCATCAGGCCTCAGATCCTGAGATAAGAAAGCAGGACAGACAACCTCCCCCACTTTTAAAGACAGTGCATCCTTCATCATGCGCTCCTCACTTCCTTGTGCTCACTTAGGTTAAATGTCAGTGGACTTCATGAGACAATAGGTTCTCACGCCTCTTCCTGACCCCCTGCTCTCACTGCCCTTCCAACAGCACCAGGAACATCTTAAGCGGCAGCATTTAGTATAAACTCCTGAAGCCATTTAGGAAAGACATTTAGACCCTTAAAACTGCTCATCCCATTTCATCCAAAATGCCATTTGCTGGTCCTGCCATTTACTCCACCCCAAATGCAGAAGTTATAAAGGACAGTCACTACAATATTTACACTAGTGAACAATCAAAAACAACCCAAGTGGAACCCTCCTACACTGTTGGTGGGAATGCAAGCTGGTGCAACCCCTCTGGAAAACAGTATGGAGGTTCCTCAAACAGTTGAAATTAGAGCTACCGTTCGATCCAGCAATTGCACTACTGGGTATTTACCACAAAGATACAAATGTAGGGACCTGAAGGGGTACGTGTACCCCAATGTTTATAGCAGCAATGTCCACAATAGCCAAACTGTGGAAAGAGCCAAGATGCCCATCGACAGATGAATGGATAAAGAAGATGTGGTATATATACACAATGGAATATTATGCAGCCATCAAAAGGAATGAGATCTTGCCATTTGCAACGACGTGGATGGAACTGGAGGGTGTTATGCTGAGTGAAATAAGTCAATCAGAGAAAGACATGTATCACATGACCTCACTGATATGAGGAATTCTTAATCTCAGGAAACAAACTGAGTGTTACTGGAGTGGTCGGGGGTGGGAGGGATGGGATGGCTGGGTGATAGACTTTGGGGAGGGTATGTGCTACGGTGAGCGCTGTGAATTGTGCAAGACTGTTGAATCACAGATCTGTACTTCTGAAACAAATAACGCAACATATTTTAAGAAAAAAGGAAAAGAAGAAGATAACAGGAGAGGACGAAAAGGGGAGTATGTCAGAGGGGGAGACGAACCATGAGAGATGATGGACTCTGAAAAACAAACTGAGGGTTCTAGAGGGTAGGGGGGTGGGGGGATGGGTCAGCCTGGTGATGGGTATTAAAGAGGGCACGTTCTGCATGGAGCACTGGGTGTTATGAACAAACAATCAATCATGGAACACTGCATCAAAAACTAATGATGTAATATATGGTGATTAACATAACAATAAAAAAATTTGGGGAAAAAAAAAAACAACCCAAGTGTCCAGCAACTGGGAAATTATTAAAAACAAACTATGCTTTATTCCCACTTGATGGGCAATTATGCAGCTATTAAAAACAACTAGGATTATGAAGACCATGTGATAAGACAGAAAAATGATTATGATATGAAACACTAAAAAAAGGAATATAAAATTAAAGAGACAGTAATGATAAGATTATTAAAAAATGGGGCACCTGGGTGGTTCAGTTGGTTAAGCGCCTGCCTTCGGCTCAGTTCATGGTCCCAGGGTCCTGGGATTGAGCCCTGCATCAAGTTCCCTGCTCAGCAGGGAGTCTGCTTCTCCCTCTCCCTCTCCCCTTCCCCCTTCTTATGCACTCTCCCGCTTGCGCTCTCTCTCTCAAATAATTAAATAAAAATCTAAAAAAAAAAAAAAACTTAAAGAACTATGCCAAGAATTAGTGAAAGGTAGGGGCGCCTGGGTGGCTCAGTCGATAAGCGTCTGCCTTCGGCTCAGGTCATGATCCCAGGGTCCTGGGATCGAGCCCCGCATGGGGCTCCCTGCTCAGCGGGAAGCCTGCTTCTCCCTCTCCCACTCCCCCTGCTTGTGTTCCCTCTCTCGCTGTGTCTCTCTCTGTCAAATAATTAAATAAGATCTTTAAAAAAAAAAAGAATTAGTGAAAGGTAATAAATGCTACCTTTTTAGTTGTACTGGAGCCAAGGGAGTGGGGGGCGACCATTTATCAATCTCTACCAAATGTTCTTTAATGTACATATATTACATTTATAGGGGAAAATGTATGCCTGTGTATAATTGAAAAATTTGATAGCAACTATTAAGCTCCCCGGTCTACACTGAATTCACACTTTGAAAGGTCCTATAAGCCTTTTCTCATCATGATAAAAAGGCTCCTCGGAACCTGCACCCCCAGGACTCAGTGCCTGGGCCCATGAGCCCTTGGTTAAAGGTCTGTGTTATCCGACCCTGAAATGCCTTCATTTGCATAACTCCTAAGGAGACTCCAACACCATCTGGAAGATAGGATGAGATCAATATGATTCTCAGATGCCACTTTAATCAAGTTTTGTACCATACAGTGATGCGGGGTGGTGAAAAATGTGACTGTTTTCAAGCAAATTTACCTGTCCCAAGGTAAACAACCTGGGCTTCCAAGAACAGAAAAAGGCCTTCCTCCCCAGGGAGTCTCATTCCTGAGCTGACAGGACAGGATTTCCGGGAGAATGAGTGCAAGAAGAGGGCAAACTAGTGAAGGGAGCCAGGTAGCTTTTTGAATTCTTCCCAGTGTACACTGGGACTAGGCATGTAGGCATCCCTCCTAAGGCAGCACCCCAACCCCAGCCACTCCCACTTGAGGCCAAAGTGCCTCCCCAAAGAAACAGACAGCCATCATTCATTTCATGACACTCCTCCCCGCGGCGCGCCCAGAAGCGCAGAAGCCTGAGCAGTTTCGGCCACCATACAACACATGCAGCCTTCAGGCCAGAACCCTCAAGGGCCTTCCTCTTCCCTGGCCCCTCGGCGGCTCGAGTGTCCGCCTGGCAACGTGAGGGCAGCCAGTGTGTGAGGGGCTGGGTGGTACAGGAAGGGACAGAATGAGCGACACAGCAAATCCAATGTGGGTTCTGGAGCAGGGTAGACATGGTGGCAGGGCCAGTCATGGCCCACACAAGGACCCATGGGGCTCTGTGTCCTTCGTTAATTCTTCTCTGGGCGGTTTCTGTTCAGGACAGCTTTAGGGGCAAATTCCAGCTTGTCCTTAAGGCTCACCACCTGGGTGTGGTCCTTGCCTAGCAGTTCATCCAGCTTTCGGTCCTCCCGGCGCTCAGAGATGCTCTTCTCCTCCTCCACAGGCTGGGGATCCTTCCCCCGGATGAACCATTCCAGGTGGTAACCCACAGCCCCGACCACGAAGGCCACAGGAAATGTGACATAGGGAGCATAGGTACGCACCACGGTCCAAAGCACAGGCCACATGACATCTGCAGAAGAGCACAAGGCAGCATTAGGGAGAAACCAGCATCCCCCTCCCCACCGAATGAGGACAACCCACCAAGGCTCTCCATTTACCAGGCAGCCTGGCAGAATTTACCAAGCACCCACCCCACGCAGAGTACCACAAGATGGTACCCTGCTTAGGCAACAGTTAGGGCCCTGAAACAATCTAGAAAATTTTGAAAGACATGACTGTTAGGGAAAAGGGGAAGGATCTCTATTTTATGTACTATACTCACTGACCATTATGCGACCATGTTTGGCAGTGTTCCCCGAAAGGGGAACCTCTGAGCCTACCTAACAAAGATTCAAGCCTGTGATTGGCCCCAGGCCCTCCCTCCACAGTTTACCAACATTTCAGGAATGGAAAAGAGCCCTTCCCTGCTCTATGCAATTTCTCCATGAACACAGCCAGCCACACTTTTCCCACTGTGTATAGTCCCACTGTGACTCTCCTGGTCCAAGATAATGAGAAATAGTTCCTTTACCTCACAAAAAGAATAAGGAGTCTATTTAAATGGCCAAAACCCTAATCCATTACTCAACCATTCTGGATTTTAGATAATGATTTTTTTTCCTATTCTGAACTTGATCTTTCTAACAATGAGACATACCTATACTTTACAAAACTGCCGGCCAAACCTCTTTCAAAATACATTGTCTTCAACCAAACCCATACCCTCCTATTTGCATAATAAACTCCTAAAAATATCACCAACGCATTATTCATACTCTGAACGTGATAGGTCTTGAATTTTTCTGTAAAAACAAACAAAAAAACAAAAACAAAACAACACTGTACAAGCCCATGGCAGGGGGGAAAAAAGTGGAATGGCCCTGGAGCGTCCTGAAATGAAGTAAGATAACACCAAAAAAATACAGAAACACACAAATCGGTTCACTCTAATGGCCATTTAGTCTCATGACTATTATCATTAACAGTTATCAAAGATTATTCCCGGGGCACCTGGGTGGCCCTTGTTTTCAGCTCAGGTCATGATCTCAAGGTTATGGGATCAAGCCCCGAGTCGGGCTCCACGCTCAGTGTGGAGTCTGCTTGTCCCTCTCCCTCTACTCTTCCCCCCATTTGTTCTCTCTCTCTAATAAATAAAGTCTTTAAAAAAAAAAAAGATTACTCACATTATCATAATAATACCTACCATTTATTGAGCACTTATGTACCATTCCTTGGGCCAAGCACTTTATAAACAGTATCTCCTTTTATCCTCATGTCCACTCTATGAGGTAGATGGTATTATCAGAGGGTTAAGTAACTTGCCCCAAAGTCTCAACTAAAAGATCATTCATTCCATTTGCACCTCTGTAGGTGTTTCTCCATCTTGGCTATCTCTAGTCTAAAGTGTACAATTGAAATCTCACCAAGGATAAAATGATTCTTTCTTTGGTTCCAATTCTCTCTGGAGGAATCCCAGCACTCTGTGGACCCAAGACTATAAGGGGCCATTATCAGGGAAAAAACTGCAGCAGCTAGAAGGTTCCCCTCTGGGTCCTTTGTCTTTGCACCAGCCCCTATGCCAGACAAGTCACCCGCTGGTCATCACCTGATCTTCACAACGCCTCTATGAGGTAGGAATTATTAGCCCAGATTTGTGTCTAAGGCCACAAAGGCTCAGGGACATTATGTGAACTTGTCCAAGATCATTAGAAGTGACAGAACCACTGCTTCTGAATCCAGGCTTCTCCAAACGTCAACACTTGTGCTCTTTCTAGTGGCAAGAACACACTGCAGATAGGTGTGCTGTTTCTGTCCAAATCCTGGACTTGGGGAGCGCTTCCTGCCATTTTTTTCCCACCAACTTGGCATGGCACTATCTGGAAGAGCATCCCTTTTGGCAAACTCTAAGATTACTCAGAGATTTGTGAAATGACAGGACTTAGACGTTGTTAAAACAAACAATCCTGAAGAACCTCAAGCCTAATACTTCTTTTTCTTTCCTACCTTTTATGCAAGCTCTCTATAAGTGAACACTTACCCTAAACAGCAATTCTCCATTCAGATCCCCAATTTGTTGTAAAACATACCAAACACGAGTCCACAATTCATATCATCTCCCATATGCAGCAAAGGTCTTTCTCTCCGTTGTCCTGCCCACATTCTAATCATTCCCAAATACGTCAGTTCATTTATTCAACACTTAGAACCACTTTCTCTGTGACAGACGTTGTGCTGGCGGCCCTACCCCACTTGTCTGCATTTCTCCAAAACACTTAAGCTCCAAGAGGGCAAGGACCACGTCTGTGCGGCCCCCACTGTGTCCTACCCACCCCCCACCCTTCCTGCCCTGCCTGCCATAAAGTGCTCCCAAAAAGTTTGTTAAATGAATGAATGACAGCTCAAACAACGCACCAGTGTAAAACCACAGCAGTCGCCCACCCCCACGCCCTCATAAGGCGGCAGGAATACAGCGGGCTACTTTGCTGATCGGAAGAAGCTAAATGCTCCCTAACAATTCACCCCCAGAGTATCAAAACGAAGGCGGCAAAAGCGTCCCGCAAATACCGGAACGTCTTCCTTCCAGCCCGGCACAGAGGAAGCCTGAGCGTCCCGGTAAAGGTCAAGGGGGTTGCCAGGAAACCTGCCCTTGTGCGGGCGCCCCCGGAAGCCCAACGAAACCCGAAGCCGCAATCCGAGATTTTAAGAACTGTTAACAAGAGCAGAGGAGACCTGACAGGGTGGAAAGACTGGCCCTGACCGTCACTCGAGCCCGGCCCGGGGATGGGGGCGCAACTGAAGTCCGAGTCCCAAGTATCTAGCCTTCCTTCTCCCTCCTCTGGGCTCCCGGTGCCACCACGCTCGTGGCCTCGGCAGCGTCCGTTCTCACCCACGTGCCTGAGGCCGAGAAGCCCTGGCCGCAGAGGTTCCGCTGGGCGCCCAGACACGGCCTCCGAGCCCTGGGAAGAGAGCTGTCAGGCCCAGCCAGGGCCGGAGCGGACACTCGCAATCACCCTTCCCTAACTCAGAGGTCACTGCCAGGAGCCGTCACCCGGACAACGGGAGGCCCCGGCGACCGCTCCGGGGAAGGGAGCTGCCCGCTGGGACCGCGTGCTCACCTGCGTCGCAGCCCGCACTCCACGGTCCTGCCCCCGCCCTCTGCCTGCCCGCCCGCCTGCCCGCGAGCGAGCCCTCTCCCTTGCTCGCTCGCCTGGAGCACCGACGTCGCCTCTCCCAGCTGCCCGCGGGGCCTGGCCCCGGGACCCCGCCCACCGGCGCCTGCTCTCTCGGAGCGCGCCGATTGGCTGAGCTCCAGTCAAAGGACCGGAGGAAGCTGAGAGTCCGCAGCGGAACCCGCTGCGCCGAGATGAGGACTGCGCCCCCTCGTGGCCTGGAGAGTTTCCCCAGTGACGTCAGCACGTGCTTTCCGCGTGGAGAAAGTGGAAGGTCATCCATGCGTTTATTCAACTGATGTTTATTAGGCGTCTCTAAGACTTAGGTCTGGACACACAAAAACAAAAGACATGTTCCTTAACTTCAAGAAGATCTCCTTAGCAGGATATAGTCTAGAACTCTGAGACCTCTTCAAATCTGGGCTAGTTTTTAGCCATGTGACCTTGGGAACACTATTAATCTGCTGGAGCCTCCTTTCCCTCTTATGCATAAAGGTAATAACATCTATTTCAAAGGATGTTGTGAGGGTTTGATGAGATAATGCATGTTAAGTGCTGTGCCAGGTACATAGCAACAGGGAAATAAATGGTACTATTCTCAGTATACAAAGAACTGAAATATAATGAAATCTAAGTCTTGCCTGACCCCTTGATACAAGTATTCACTCCCCTTGTGTCCCCACTATGCCCTGTACAGACATCTATTTTATCAGGTATAGTTGACCTCTGAACAACAGGGGTCCGAAACTGTGTGGGTCCACTTACACATGGATTTCTTTTTTCAATAAATGCAGAATGGTACTAGAAATATATTTTCTCTTTGTTATGATTTTCTTAATAATATTTTCTTTTCGCCTGCTTATTTTATTGTAGGAATACAGTACATAATACATATAACATACATAATATGTGTTAATCAGCTGTTTATGTTATCAGGAAGGCTTCTGGTCAACAGTAGGCTATTAGTAGTTAAGTTTGGGGGATGTCAAAGTTATACATGGATTTTCCACTGTTCGGGGGCTGGGTGCCCCTAGTGCTGTCATTGTTCAGGGGTCAACTGTATAGAAAAATAACACCAAAGCTCAAGCTCTGGAATGCCCCCACTGGCCCTACCTTCTCACCTCTGTTCCACGAGTCTCAGCCACGCATATTTACTTTAGTAACACAGGCTAAACCCCTCATATTCCCCCATGCAGACCAAACTGTTTCAAACCTCTGTGCCTTCATTTATTATGCTTTTTCATCTACCTGAGTGCCCTTCCCACCTTTCTTTACCAAAGTAGCTCTGGCTCATTTTTCGAGCTTAAGGGACACCTCCAGAGGAAGCCTCCTAGACTGCATCATCACATTAGATGCCCTTCCTCTATGATCTCAAAGAGGTCAGTGCTAAGCTCTCGCAGCGGAGATAGAGAGAAAAGAACAGTATAGAGAAATATGTGAGAAACCATTATTAGCAGCACTTGTTCCCTAGATGAATGTGTAGAGAAGAGAAGGGAACAGAATTGCCTAGAACAATTAGCATTAGAACATCGACATGTGCTAGACACTGGGGATACAAAAATGACTAGAACCCCCCCTGCCTTCAGGAGTTCTCGGACCAACCGCTGGGGAAGCAGAGGGCTCTACAAACTGTCCAGGGAGTGTGAGAAACGTGACAGCAGAAGCATGCATAGGTAGCGCAGAGGAGGAACCCAGGAAGAATCAGGGAGGGCTCACCAGAGGAACCTGCCCTTGAGCTGAGTCTCAAGTGATGGCTAGTAGTTCAGTCAGGCAGAACTGAATGGGGCTTGAGAGCACAGACCTAGGAATCAAAAGTGGGTTCAAATCCTGGCCCTGCTGCCTGCTAATCTCAGAAAAACTGTTTACATTCTTTGTTTAAGCAGATGCAATGAGAGTACCCATCCCCTAGGGTGGTTCTGAGTCCTATTCACTAATGTGTATAAAACGCTTGGCACGGTACTTGGCGCCTCCTGAGTGCTCAGTAAATGGCCACTGGTATGTTTAGTATTCCCCAAATTGATTCCTCCTTCTGTAATGATCTATGTCCACTTATGGTTTTACTTATTCACTAAGCCAAAAACCTAACTGACATCTTCAAAATCTCATCTTTGCACTATTCCCCAAACCCAGCTTAGAGCAACTGAGTCTCCTGAATGTCTCTCAAGTTCTTCATCATCCTCATCTCTTACCTGGACTACCTAAGCAACTCCCTCAATGGTCTCACTGCCTTCTATTGCTCCCTCCAGTCCATTTCCATTCGTAGCCAAAGGGCCTTTCAAAAGTTTAAATAAAACCATGAAGTCTCCGGGGCACCTGGGTGGCTCAGTCAGTTAAGCGTCTGCCTTCGGCTCAGGTCATGATCCCAGGGTCCTGGGATTGAGCCCTGCATTGGCCTCCTTGCTCAGTGGGGAGCCTGCTTCTCCTTCTCCCATTCCCCCTGCTTGTGCACACTTGCTCTCTCTTGCTCTCTCACTCTCTCTCAAATAAATAAAATCTTAAAAAAAAAATGTGAAATCTCCAGCTTAAACCCCCTCTCTTCTGGAACACGGGTCCCTTCTGGCCACATCTCCTCTATGCCCTCTATACCTCTGTCCGAGCCTGTCACCACCCTCCAGTCTCTGCTCTTCCCATGATCCCACACACACAGACATAGCCTACCATGCATTTGCCCAAGCTGGTCCCTCTGCCTGAAATGAATGTCCTCCCTCTCTTCCTCTGCTGCAAAACTCTAACTCATCCTGCAAGACCCAGTTCAAAAGGCCCCTCTTGCAGAAAGACTCAACTGACTGCAAGAGGCCTCCTCCTTTGGTATCCTCAGCCCCTCTGGGAGAAGCCTCCCTCTGTACGTGCCATTCTCTTTATATGCCTGACTATGGCCACCTGGGAGCAATTGAAAAGCACAGGGACTGGATCTAATCCTTCGCTTGTCCATGGAGCCCAGCACAACTGCCCAGCCCTCAACATCCAAAGACTCCCCACCACATCAGCTCCACATGGGGAGATTTAGATGTCAGTCTGTAGCAAGATGCCCACTACATTCATTCAGGGCTGCCCTGCTCCTCTGTGCCCACCCCTTATACCTCCTGGTCCTGGAAAATGTGGCCCAGTTTCTAGGAAAAGACATAGAGCCATAAAAAGCTGTAGAGTATAGAAGGTTAAACTCAGACTCAGCCACTTCTCGGCTTTGTGATTTGGGGTAAGTTGTTTAGACCTCAGAGTGTTAGTTTTCTCACCTGTAAATGGTGGTAACAACAATATCGGCTTCAAGGATTGCTCTGAGTATCATCTAGTACAAGCCTTGCCCACGTCCCGGTTTTAGAGATGAAAAAAACTCAGTCTCAGAGAAGTGACGTGACCCAGCTAAAGGCTCCGCAAGTCTAGGGGAAATAGACAAATGGGCATTTCCAGTGGAAACTTTTGGACGATCATCCAACCTAAGTGTTCTCAAACCTGGCTGTCCATCAAAATCACCTGGCACACTTGTTAAAAACTCATTTGGGGGCAGAGAGTCTATTCACAGTCTTGGACAGGGCCCAGGAATCTGTGTGGCATCAGCTCCAAGCTGACTCACTTTCGGGAATTTGGATCACATGGGGCTCCTCTCCACTTTCCAGTGGTCTCATATAAGTGTGCGTGTACGACCTCTTGCTTTTCAAGCAGTCTCCCACACTGGCCTGTAAAATAGCTGTTCATGCCCCTCTCCTGTTCAAAACCCTTCCGTGGCTCCCCACGGCTCTGGGGACGCAGGCCCACCCACCTCAAGTTGACCCAAAAGCCCAGCATGGTCATGCCTCTGCACTCCCGATGCTCCCTCTCCTCCTGGCCTTTGCATAGCTGTTGTCTGAGCTTGGAACATTCTTCCCAGCACTGGCCCTCCTCCAGTGGCTCTTTCCAGCACTCACCCTTATTCTGTAACTGCTTGTTTACTTGTCTGTTTTTCCCATAAGACCGTTAGCACCATAAGAGTGGAAATTACACTCGTTCAGGGCTATCTCCCAGGTGCTGGCCAGTGCCAACAGTGGTTCTTGATAAATGGCTGCTGAATAAATGAATGAGAATTGTCCAGTCCAGTGTGGCCCAGAAGGGCAGTCAAAGCCTTGGATGGCTCTTCTTCCTGCCTCAGGGTGACACATCAACCCCAAGCAATGGATGGGGTTGCCAGACCGGGTGGGGGCTGCCATCAAACCCTCTCTGGACTCTGAAAGCTGTAGAGTTAAAAGCTCCCGGTTTGGCATGACACAGACCTGGGCCCACCACTCCTAGCCCCGCCTGGGACTTCGGACAGGTCACCGAACCTCTCCTGAGCTTCAGCTTTCTCACCTGGCCTAAGGATGAGCTACATTCATGTAAAGCACTCCCCCTCCACCCCACCGCCTGACCCAGAGCAAATATCCCATAAACATTAGCCATCACTACCAGCGGCGTTGCTACTTAGCTTCCCAGGAAAGTTCCATTCTCCTCCTGGGCCGCCACCAAAGTGCCCACCCAGAGGAGGCATCAGAAAAGGTGACAACACTAAATTGAACAGCGTTTCTGCTGCTGATCAGGAAGGAGCGGAACAGAGATAACACGGGACCCTTAGGGGAAGGCAAACCAGTATCCATCCGCGTCTAAGAATAACAGCACTCCCTGTTTATTGAGCACAGGCCGGCGGGCCAGGCACTGGGCTCTGGCCTGCCCGGTTGCAGGAAAGCCTGGGAGCACTGGGGGGGCAGAAAGACAAAAACGGACTGAACTAGGAGTGGTGAGGAAAACACCCTGCCCTCCTCACCGCCCCTGGGCCGCTCCAGGAGGGCTCAGGTCCTTCTGTGGCCACCAGGGGGCCGAATCCTCTTTGCCCCAGCTGGCCCAGGTTACCACACTCCCCCCAAACGGAGAGTGGCTCCTGGCCTCCCCCCCCCCCCCCCCCCCCCCCCCCCCCCCCATTTCCCGCCCCCCCCCCCACACTCCCGGCTCCCATGCACGGGGCAGAGGTGGCTCCTGGAGAGAGCAGCCGGCTCGAGTGCAGTTCTGCCGTTTTATTTTTCCTGGGATACTCAAGGGGATGTGGGAACAGCCACAGGTGTGGTGAGGGGAAGCCCCA